ACTGCACTAAATGGAAAATGAAATAATTTTGAACAAAATTAAAAATTTTATAAATAACCCCTCGAAAAAATCCATTATAATCGATTATAATCGATTAAAAATGGATTATTTTGCCTCGAAAACAAGTTTCGTTTTCTTCCAAAAATAATCGATTATAATCGATTATAATCGATTATATTCGGATTTTATTGAATAGAAAAATAGTTTCATTATAATCCATTTTTAATCGATTATAATCGATTATTATCCAAATTTATTGAGACAGACCACGAAAATTCAATATAGTCGATTATTATCCATGGAACTCCGGTGCGGGTAACCAAGCTGGGACCAAGATGAGCTGAACGTAGTTTAGTCAACGTAAAACTAAGTAAGTATACTGTTAAAAGTACTATTAATTAAGTTTTCTGATCTGACATTTTGATTTTCTGAACAGAATTTTTCTTTGCAATGACTTATTAATGATGCATGGTTGAAAAGTTATTCAAAAATTATAGAAGAAAACTTTTAACAAGTTATCGTGCATCGGCAAGGATATATATTGGAAAACAGCGGATTCCACAGCTGATATAACGCAGTCGGCTTAATAATTCAGATTGCTCATTCATCATTAATTCATGATTTGTTTCATTCATACGTCCCAAAACATCTATGTTTTAAATTTCAGCCTGGATTATAACGTTCTATCGGTTTAGGATGCCCATTCTGGGATTTTTTGTTCATCAAAATGATTACCAAATGTTGAGGCAAGTCAGGTTTTTCAAGAAAGTCTGAATTGAGGCTACACGGAGTAGTAGATTCCTTCAACCAGTTACGCAAAAGGCAACGTGTTTTTTCGTGAACACTGGCCCGTTCGAGTTTAGTCAAGCGCTAATTTTCAACCTCTCAGACAACAAATTGTGACCAAAAAAAAGATCAATTGTTTTTATCAAAGTTAAAATAAATCAAAATCCAATTGAAATCCGTTAAAAGAGATTTTTATACACTTTATTTCTGATTCGCGTCGTGAAAGTTTTCCTATAAACTCTGTATTTATCAAACGTTTAATACAGAAATTTCCTATGCCAATAAAAAACATCACACGTTTCGAGTCTATGAATAACTTAGGAATTAAATGTTTAGATTCAAAAAGAAGCAAATAGTGCTTTTATATCTTTCAAAGAAATATTCAAGCGTATCAAATTGCTTTTGTTTTCTGCATAATTTTAATTTCCGTTTAATAACCAAATTTAATGGATATATGGCTCGTCAAATTAAAAGTAGCTCAAATTGATCCAAATTTTGCGATCGATTTTTTTATGTGTTCTCATTGCAACAAGTTTTGAATGATCATCTTATCTTGTGTGGCCTGCATCAAGAAACTGCTATCAAAATGTCACCGGAGGGCTGGAAGTTCGCTTCCAGCACTGGTTCGAAACATCTATATGTCCATTTGCATTATATACAGACACTGAAGCGCTTTGCATCTAAGTTGATAACACCAGCACAACTTTTGATGAAAGCACAACATTGGAAGAACAGAAACCGTGTTCATTTGGGGCCCTACTAGTTGACAAAAAATTTAAGCCAATCTGTTTATGATTCATCCTCTGGAGAAAATGCAATGGATGATTTCCCATAAATACGTTCGATTGAAAGCCAGAGAGTTATCAGATGCTAAAAAAATCAAGAAGCTCATAATTTCAGATTAGGATCCTCAAAAACTGTATCAAACATAAAACAGCTGTGTAATTTGCAGGAACACTCTATCAGCAAAAAGCGTCGTTCATCATGATCATGCTACAGGATAAATTTATGGACTGGCTCACAATGAGTGTAACTTAAAATTGAGAACTTGAGTAAATATGACGCTCAACGTCTCGTTCAGAGTTTCAGGTTGAAAGTAAAGGAAAAATTAACTGTTGTTCCCTGTAGAGATGAAACGTACATATCATTCAGCTCAAATGTTCCAGTTGGAGAGTACACGACAAAATCAGTAGCCGTACATACTAATTTTGAAGAGATGAGGTTCCTGGATTGTAACAGGTTTCTGACCTCCAGTTTGAACGATTTGACTGAATCACTGAACAAAATTGATTCTCATAGTTTCAAGATTTTACAATTGAAATCAACCAATAAAACATCTTGAAAGTTACACATTAACCGTAATACCGCACAAAAAATGATTCAACACGACAAAAGTTTTGACAATAACACTACAATTCTCTTCATTCTCAACCCAACAAGCGATCTATCACGAGGACAAGTGCAATTTTGCCATAATTTATTGGTAAACTTGTTCCAAAGAGATAACCGTCCATGTGAACAATAATTCCCAGGGAAAGTGTTAAAATCAGAAGACAAGTATTTGATCATTATTTATCTGGTGTTTGTAAAGTAAGTTTACACCATGGAATATTCACAATCGAAAATTTATCACCAAATTCATCGAATCAACAATCACATTGAATACAGACAGATGACATTGAATTAGATTTTTCAAAATCTTTTGAAGAATATTTTGAATTTGTACAAGATCAAAACTCGGAAAGAGCGTACTCCATTTTCACAAATGATGTTTTCTGTATCATTTATACTTACGTTTCCTAATAGAAACTAACGATACAGTTTATACAACTCCACCAAAATCCTCTCGACATGCAATAGTAAGACGAGAAAATTTTCTTTTCTCACGTTTTTTTGATTCAATTCTTGAATCACTCAGTGATATTGAAATATCGCAAATAGTTAAAACTGACCCGCAAAAGAATCCTAGCATGGTTCTTTATAGACTATTTACCAAATAATCTAGATCTCATCTCAAAAGCAAGAAAAAATTTAAGGCCACAAAATGACGATGAATCAATAGTAGCAGATGGAACAAATTAAGTTTGGGATACGGACTCACGTTGTATTTTCCAACGTACCAAACTATATCTCAAGCGCAGCACTTGTAATCACCACGGTACATAAGAAACTTAAGAGTAACTCTATTAGCAATTGATACCACATCTTTAAACTATAACACAATATTTAGAGAAAAGGTTTCAATAACACTCTAAATTCAACATTCATAAATACGCAAGAAAGTCTAAAAGCAACTAAAGATCTGACACAACAAGATAACCAAGAAGCGTCAGACTTTGTCAATGAAGAAATAGTTGAAACACTACCCACAACCACACAACGAAGTATTTCATCATTTCATCCAACAATTACAACCACACAATAAAAGCAATAATCCGTTCACCACACAATAAAAGCACCAACACGCCACAGTCAACAGTCAAACCAACAGTCGTACCAAAAAAACTCACAAACGGACTACCAAGCGCATAGACCAAATACTAAAAAACGCCCAACTAGAAACCGAAATATACAAATGGTAATGTTTTTGCAAATCAAATTATAGATTGTTTCACAAACAATAATATCAACAATCCAAGGGTACGACAACTTGTTACAACACAAATCCAACCTCAAGAACATAAATATACAAACAGATACCAAAAAAACCAGTACCCCAACCTGTTTTTTTAGCAATGAAAGAAAACTGGTCATACTGAAAACGATTTTGTCAACAAAACAAAATAATTCAAATAATTGACAATTCATATGAAACCAGCCAAATTATTCAGAAGATGGAGATTACTTTCATCAAAACTTACAACATCATGAAAGAAAACCAGCCAAACAACCAATGGAAAGATATAGATCACTCGGCTCGGCTGACATTTTCAACCATATTTTTTTACCCTAACATGAAACTTGAAAGACCGCGACAAACACAACAACAATCACCTACAAGACAGAAC